GGCCAAGACATTTGTTGTCCAAAGTATTCGACCCTCCAGCGACGCTTGTGTGGTGGGAATGGATTGCATAGGGACATCGGGGAACAAAGAACTGTGCGGGCAAACGATACTTCCCTGTTGTCCGGGCCGATGAAGCGGGTTTAGTTGAGGTATCTCACCTCGGGCGTTCGACTCAAAAGTCTGCCCCGGAAGGCAATGGAAGGACTTAGGGTTTTGTTCGGGGATCCTGCCCCTAGCCTCTGACCAAAAAATCTGACCCACGGGGCAGTGTACAGTAGGAGTTTCATTGGGTAGCCTTTCCCGGAGTCGATGACTCATAAGTCTGACCCGCTCGGATGCAACGAACTGTAGCCCTGAATCCTCCTCGGACAACGGGCTAAATGCTCAGACATCGTTGTGGTTACTGGTGACGCGAACGCTCAGGTAGGTGGACTGAGCGCCGCTGAGGCCCGATCGGGCGTTGTCTTGGATTGGGCACGAGACGCACAGACAACGGAAATCGCCCCTTCATATGTGTGTCGACCACAGACTGTTCCTTTGCAGTGCCAACTTCCGAAACGACAGAAATCCCTTGACAAAGCGGTGCTTACCAAAAACAGCCCCAAATCCTAATAGACTACGATGCCGTCAGTTACCGGTGGCATGACTCGATCACCGAAATGTCAGCATGGTTAGAGCGCGAATTTACTGACCATGGTTCCAACCCGACCTTTGTCTCTCGACTTCCCCTATCTGGGCTTGGGCAACCTGGCAGTGTCCCAGGTTTCGTGCCTCTTGGTGGCATGGTAGTTAGACACCGAAAGGTGCCATGACTGAACGAACGGACCTCGCTTACACAGCAAGAAGCTAGTGGACACAGAAATCGAAAAAGCCTATCAGAGCAGGTTCCTTGAACGCCTACCGGATGCTCCGATGTCGGATATCAATAGCCACTTGGAAAAGATATCGAAAGGCCTCTCAAAACCGGAATTTCCGTTTTCGGTAGAACCCAGCCAACCTCTTTCGAACCTCTGACCTCTGATACGACCGTGGCTTTACTTGAGGTCCGGCGATAGATTCCTGTTAGCTGCAACCCCAACTCAACCCAATCCAAAGTATTATCCGACGCCAGGTGAAACTGTCCACCGAGAAACTCGGTGCGTCCGGAAAGCCGAAGTGGAATGTGTAGAAAATGCTGGAAGAGTCCGCAGGCTGTTCCGCTTAATTCGTTCGACTGGTCCTCTTGTCCGTGAAACTATCAGAGGCCACGATGGCTCTCATCCAACAAAGCAAGGGGGTAGAACTGGTGGGCACGGTACTGCGAAAAGCAATTTACTTGGCTACCTGCCTCTCCAGAATACCGGCCTTCCACAGAAAGGCGGATCGTGAATATGGAGATCCGTTCAGCCTCAAGTGTCCAAGTGTATATATCTACTCAAGCGTTATCATGTTACTGCTGGTCCTGACGATTTCCCATCTATTTTGTTCAAGGATGGCGGTGAATTCCTCATTTAGTACCTGTCTAGCCTATTCGGGTCTCTCTGGGAGAAGACGACCGTCCCAGAAAACTGCCTCGACTTCCCCTGTCTAGGCTTGGGCGACCTGGCAGTATCCTGGCCCTCGTGCCTCCGTGTGGCGTGGCAGCTAGGCACCGAAAGGGTGCTACAAATGAACGATCTTTTAGAGGTGTTATTTGAACTATTGTTCTAACAGGATTCTTCATTGTCTTACGGCGGCACGCGAATCCTTGAGTCGCGAGCATCAGGGTGTATTTCGGCCGGGTAGATGCTGCGTTAACCACATCACTCCGTAAGATGTTAGGGAAATGTTACACGTACAGATGACCCACAATCTTGCTGCTCTTATACATAATACATACTTCTGGGCGTGTGAAAGTGCATGGTGAGTTCATTAAGAGCATCCCCACAAGGATATGCACTCTCTCTGTTCTTGTTGAACTTCGTGATGGATGGATCAATAAGAGGAGCACTGGAAGGTCTTCAAAACCCCGGTGTTCCCATTGTTTCTGATGAGAACCTTGTCGATTTAGAGTATGTGGACGCCATTTTCTTCACCTTTGATGACTAAGGGGAAGCACATACTCTGCTGACTAAACTGGTCATCGTGGTAGCATCTGTTGACAGTTCTTGCAGCTCCAAAACGCAAACTGGTGCAGTCTCTGAGTATACACCTTATAATTCAAGGAGAATCACTGGAGGTAGTGGAGAACTTTACCTCGGTAATTGTGTTATCTCTGACGGATGTGTGTCTGGTGGTCGTTGCACGAATATCAAAGGCCCGAATCATGTTCGCTAGTTTGCGCTATTCGTGGTGTCAAAAAGAGCATACCACTGGTCGCGTGAACCAGGCTGCAATAAGTATTATGTTGTTGCATGGTTACGAGACAACCTCTGCGACTACATATGAGACGTCTTCAGGTCTTTGAACACCGCTGCTTCAGGAGCGTTACTGGTTTCGGACGGTGTCAACGGATTCCTAACGAGTTAATTAGAATTAGAATTAGAAAACAGGTATCTGGTTTTGTAGCAAGCAATGCAGCCGCGGAAAACACCCACTATTATCGACTGCGGTGGCTTGACCATGTGCCATGCATGCCGAAACTGCGTTTACGGAGATGGATGTTGTCCTCCATGCGCAAACCACAAGATGGACAACGTATGACTTGGAAGAAGGGTATGGAAAATATTGCGATCTCGTCATGAGGTATCTCAGTATTGGGAGCGAGATAGCTCAGCGAGATAGCGTTTGGTCCGTGGTTCAAACCCGATCTCTACCTCTCGACTTCTGTCTAGGCTTGGGCGACCTGGCGGTATTCTAGCCCTCGTGCTCCCTTATGGTGACATGGCAGCTAGGCACCGGAAGAGTGCTACAGCTGAACGAGCTTATTTATTTATTTATTTAACGAGACTCGTTAACTTCACTGACTTCAATCGGTTGTGCATTAGGAACACGCGCTCCCAACGCCCCCAGGAGCATCTGTTAACTTGCTTAATCAGTGTCGGCTGCACACTCCTGTGGTCTGGATGCACCCCATACGTGAAAAAATTCTCTTTTCAAGGAACTTACGGGGGACCAATCACACGTACGACCAAAACCCTTGTTGTGCCCCGATAATTCGTCTAAAAGCTCTTTCTGACAGGAAATAAAGCACTGCCCTTTCAGAGTTTCTCAATAACCGCCAGTCTCCATGCGCCGTGCGTAAATAATTCAAGCATCATATCCTGTAGTGCTTGACAGTGGCACACATGGTTGGTGCGATTCATATGGCCTTACTAACTGGGAACTATTCCCCGTTATAAGAAAGACTGGATCTTAGAGCTCACCATCTCACCGTGTCAAGCCAACCTAAGCAGCTGAGATTGTCAAACGTGCCAAACTATTTCACATTCTGTCGCTAAGCAACCCAATCTTCTGGGGACGACCGAAATAGCCAGTGGACCAAAATCACTATCGACAGCATAATATCACTTAACATTATTACTTCCCTGCCTTCCAGCCTTAGTCTAGTTATAAGCCTTATTGTGAGGAAGCACAACCAGATTCGACTACCCTTGGGCCACCTGGAGACTGCATGGCAGACGCGGGCGAGAAACCTGATTGTACACTCGGGTTAGCTCAGTCGCGGAGACGGAACTGAATTGAAGATTCATGCTTTGACGGCTTTTGATCATTTGACTTGCTCCCGTGGCCAGTTTGTAGATGAAAATTTACTTGAGAGATTTTTGAATGCGTTGTTCTGAATGTGTGCATTGATTTCTCTTTGATCTTCTCAGAATTCAATACAGTTGCTTAGTTTCACCAATGATTCCAAAGCGTAACTTCAGTGAAATTCGGACCAGCCTGTGGCAAGATCCACGTATTTTGCTTGTGTTTATTGTTGGTAGATCAAACGTTAACTCGAGCTTCTATGAAGCTGTTATATTCCACGCAAGCGAAATCGCAAGGAGCTACCCAAACATAAAGTTATTTGCGTTAACCCGTCGTTTATACTCCCTGTTATCCCGGGTACAGTCTAGGCTGGGGCAACCTAGCAGTATCTCATGGCAGCTAGGCGCCGAAAGGATGTTACATCTGAAGGATTTTAATTATTATTACAGTTAAATTACATCATTCGCATATCCATCGAATTCATGCATACTGTGTTTCAATTAATAACTGCTGTCATTTGTTTTCAGATCCACTACTACTGTACATAGTGTACATAAATACTTAATGGAAAAGACAATGAGAAGCAAAACCCGGGACTATGTTAGTGTTCAGAATGGTGATTGTTTGTCAAAAATGCCGACCGCAACTGCTGAGCAACTCAATATTGCCAAAATTCTTTCAAAACCTGGAGACGAAGTTGATTTGCGGAAATATGTGGTTCAGGTGGGTTTCGAGGCACGCGGCATTTGATTACTTTAGCTCCAAGAATTAACTGCTTGTACAGAAGATCAGGCGGTGACCGCCCTCTATGATTGTGAAAACAATTTAGAGAGGGCAGTCGAACTTCTATTGGACAAGCTTCGTTTTGGTAACGATGAAGAGTGGTATACCACGGGAAAAAAGCCTCCACGTCCCAAACACAGTTCACCGAATGTGAGTTAATTTATCCTTCGAACATGGTTTTCGTAGGATTCTGATTTTATCTGCGTGGACGCTCCATCTCAGGTTGAAAGCGACCATATGGATAACGATAAAACTATCTTATCAATCCAGAACGACTTACAACGAAAAGACGACTCTGGTTCTGCTTCGACAGAAGTAGCAAAGGTGAGTTCGTCTATCTGTTCGCTTGACCAGGTAGAGCGAGGCACTCGAATCTGTCCCTAGGAAAAGAGATAACAGACGAAGGAGTTCAGCGGGTGCTCAGAAATCAGGAGGCAGTTTCGATGGTGTTATTCGGCGGACGGAGGCCTCGGAGAGTAAATCTTCCCGACCACCATTTGCTGATGTTTCGGAACCTAAACCTCGTTCGAGGTTCCCAGTATCTGATGGTATGTTATTCGCTTGTAATGTTTTATTCTTTCTTAGCTTGGGATCCCTATACCGAATATGGGGAATGGGGTGGCGAAGCCATCGAGGTGATAAATTCCAACGCTTCGATTTCCCGTGGTTTGCAAGAGGAGGTCGTTCTACCTGACGAACTACTGGTGGATACGGATACACATGATATAAAGTATGTCCCTATTTCAAACCCAACTCTTCTCACTAGGGCACCACTGGAGCAACCGGCTGAAAGTGACACACACTCTGTCAATGATGGATTATCCCCAAAGAGCATCAGCTTCGGTGATCCTGACTCTATTTTCGTCACGAAAGCATTGAGCAAGACTCCGCCACCTGCATTCACTAATTTACCGGACGCGCCAGTGTTCATCGTTCCAGAGGTTTTACCAAAATCCATTTCCAAATGGGCTTTCAAATTCTGTGGGGAGTCGTGCTCATCCTTTAAGAGCATATTGACGCCGAGCCTTTCTACCAATCCCTTGTCGCCTAAGGAAAACGTACATAGAACCACACAGCGTGCCTCAACTTGTACCCCGAAAGCTAGGACAGAAATTGAACCTCAGGACTACTGTCAGTTTGTTCCTTCGCCGTCACCTTCGAAGTCAAAGACGACCAACTTCGATGTAAGTAAGCAGGGAGAAGCTCGAAGTTTACTAGAAAATCCCACAACCTCAGGCACAAAAGCGGAAATGGTCCCCACAACTTATCCTACTAATCACTTTCAGAATGTCAATGTTGCTCCCAAAGTGTCAGGCACTTTTTCTGCTCCTCAAAAGCAACCGCCCACAGCAAACTTCGGTTCCGATGGGACAGGTGGCCAATCTAATTTTCTTGAGTCGTCTTTAAAGAGCTACATTCTGGACAACTTACCTAGTGAAATGAACAAATTGTCTGTCAGCGAGCCGGCACAAACAACGAAGGTTTCACAATACAGTTTACAGACATCCGTCCCCCAAGCCTCCAGCAGTTCTTCGTTTTCCCACAACCAAGGCGGTACGGCTAGCTCCATGCCCCACTCAGTGAACAAAGTGCAGCTCCCCCATATATCTAATCATGCGTCGATTCATGCGACCCAGCAACCAACTGCTTCTAGCGCTTCCCAAGCTCACCAACAAACGGCTCCAGTGCCACCTGGCTTGCCTCATTTTATTGGTCAGTTTGCCCCTCCAGCTTATATGTTCAATCTATCCGGTGGTTCCGGCAACGCTCCGACTATTTTCGACCTAGACCAGTTTCAACTACTACAACAACAGCAGCGTATGCTCTATGATATGCATTTACAGCACCAGGCTGCGACCACTGCTCAGAGTCATCTCACTTCTACTGCGGACGCTCCGACTTCGAGCAAGTCAATGACCCATTCTCTCCCCGGAACAATGGGCCATGTCACTGCCGCCAATGCGGGCATTCGGCCTGATATGTTAACATCTGCCATGGGGCATGCCCCTCAAATGATGCCTACTGGCCATTCTTATTTCCCCTATCCCGGCTTCGTTTTGATGGTAAGTGAGATTATTTCACTTTAACGGTTCCCCAACAAATGCAATATTTCTATTATTGTGACGTTCCGCGTGACATAAATGCAGTTCCTCTTCCCTTCGCCACTTCGGTTTCTGTTCAAACACTCGAAATCAGGTATATGATCTTCTCGTAGAACTTCTTCGTAGAACTTTTTGTCTCATGTAATCGATCTTTTTGTCAGCCAGCGCAATATTTACAATCACAGCTAGATTTTCCTCTCTGACAAAGATAAAAGCTATTTGACGGAAAAAATTGCTCACCACAATGAATGAAACGGTAGTCTCAAACTGCGATCTTTTGCCACTTTGGTGGCACCGAGTCGCCAGTGCATCGAACTACCACTACAAGACTCAAACTCAAATGCCATGCTTGCATGCGAGATAATCGACGTGGGCAGCTGTGTAAGTTCCAGTGGACTGGTTGGAGATGAGATTATTTCTCAAATCGGAAAGGCCGGGGCAGCTTTTGTCAACCTCCGACACCTATGGTACAAACATGACGTCGGTTCGCCTGTCAATGGTAGAGTTTGCACTGTAGTGGTGCGATTCATGCTGCTTTATGGCCTCTATGTTAGTATTTAACTATCGGCTTCTCTGAAACATCGATCAGGTCTGGTGGGAGGATTGGATTGTTAATAGTGGGGTATGTTAGATGGTCATAGGAAGAGGGAAATCTCCCGCTACACGGTTAGGGCA